ACACACACACACACACACACACACACACACACACACACACACACACACACACGACACCCTGCTACAAGAGGAAACATCAGGCTGATTGACTGACAGGACAGATGATCAGAGGAGCTGAGTTTTCACTCTCATGGTTAAGATAAGGGTAGAAGAACGGGTAGAGTTCCTCCGTGAAGCAGCAGCCAGTGAAGGAGTAGATCAGAGCTGCAGCATCCACATCATAAAAGGAGACCAGACCCTCCTGATGGTCCACAAACACCCCCACTGTCTCAGGACCAGGCTGAAGACTGAGATGGACTGGAGGATCATCAGCAGCACAGTACTCATTTTCATTTGTCAACCCAAAAGTCCACAAACCATGTTGAGGACTCCGTGTGATGAGTCCCTTTCTTTTGATGGACTTTCTGACCACTCCCAACTCCCACTTAGTTTTTCCTTTAACCTGAACCTGAAAGTAAAATCTGCCTGAAGAAAAACTCTGAGTCCCTAAAACAGCAACATAAAAAACAAATCTCTCTGGGTCGTCTGGAAGCTTCTTCCACACATCTCCACAGTGAACTTGTTTTCCATCCTCAGACAGGATGAGGTAAGGATGAGCAGTTTTAGGATCCAGAGTCAGATCCACCTCAAACTTCTGGACCCTCTTCAGCTCAGCCTCCATCATCTTCTCCATCTTCTCCCTGAGCTCCTCCTCCAGCTGAGCCACAGCTCTCACCACAGTCCCCTCATATGATGGATCAACTGTGACCTGGGTCCAGTTCTCGGTGGGTGGAGCAGCTTTCAGGGAGCTGAAGTTCTGGAGGAGGTGCAGGTGGTCTTCAGAGCGTGAGAGCTGCTTGAGCTCAGAGCTCCTCTTCGTCAGCTCAGAGATCTCCTGTTCCAGGTCTTTGATGAAGTCTTCAGCCTGTTTCTCTGTAGTTTTCTGTTTGTCTTCCACCTCCTTCATGAAGCTCTTCTTGTTCCTCTCCACAGAGTCCATCAGATCAGTGAAGACCTGAAGACCTTCTGCTTTCTCTCTGTCTGCAGCAGCTTTACTGATCTTCAGCGACAATTTGATTTCCTGGATCTTCAGCTGTCTGTTGAGGATCATCTGCTGAACTTCAGCCTCTGTGTTCCTCAGCTCTGCCTTCTTTCCTTCACTTTCTTCTGTCAGAGGAACAAACTCATGAGTCTTGTGGTCCAGAACAGAGCAGAGGGAGCAGACACAGGTCTGGTCAGTCTTACAGAACAGCTCCAGAGGTTTATCATGCTTCAAACACATCCTGTCCTCCAGGTTCTCCACAGGATCCAGCAGCTGATGTCTTTTCAGACGTGGAGCTGTCAGRTGAGGCTCCAGGTGAGTCTGACAGTAGGAGRSCAGACACACCAGGCAGGACTTCAGGGCCTTCAGTTTGGTTCCAGTGCAGACGTCACAGGGAACTTCTCCTGGTTCTGCAGCTTGTTGAGCTTCAAGTCTGAACTGATCAACTGTGTTTCTCAGTAAAGTGTTGACTCTGATGTGAGGCATGGAGGGGAACTGTTCTTTACACAGAGGACAGTCGCACAGAACGTTTCTGCTCCAGTGTCGGCTGATGCAGGTTTTACAGAAGTTGTGTCCACATGAGGTGCTGACCGGATCAGAGAACAGGTCCAGACAGATGGAGCACAGGAATGGATCCTCCAACCTCAGACCAGCAGACATGTCTGAGTTCTGAGAGTCAAACAATCAACAGGTTCAGAAGTCAGAAAGGAGAGAAAAGAGGAACTTCCTGTTTGACTGAATCTGAGTTTTACACTGAAGCTGCCTGTAGAAACTGTAAAAAAAATAAGAACAATCTGAACTCACCAGGATTAGAAGCAGATGATAAACAAGAAAAGAATGAAGGATGATTTCAGATTATTTTTCTTCAGATCAAAACAGATGTTTGTTCAAGCTGCAGCTCTGCTCCGACACAAACTCTTTACTTTCACTTCTTGAACGTGACGTCAAAACTTTATCCAGTTTTGTTCCTCCTCTTTACGGAGTACAACTAATGACACTGGATAAAAAATAATATTGAGGCGTGACCACAAGACAGATTAAGAGTCATTTTGTGAGAGATGTAGACATGTTGGAGTCAGATTATGTGAATATAATGGGTGTCATGCAAGAACATGTTGGTATTCTTATCCTAAATTTCTCTTACTTTTGTTCGTACAAAGGGTTCGTACGAACATGTCACGTCAGATTCAACAAACTCTTCCATCTTCAGGAAAAG